ACTTTCTCATCAAAAAGAAGAAAGTTGTGGCCCTCATGCTCAAGATCAAAGGCAAAACCGACCCTCGTTATAACCACTTCCTACTGTGGGACGATGATGAGTACCCGGAATTGTCTCCAGTCCGGCCTCTGCTGCTATACCTTGCCATCTCTGGCAGGAAGAGTGGATATCTCTTCCCAAAACTTGAACAGATCAACTGGGAAGATGCAACTGAAGCCTATAGCTACTATCATTTCCTCAGCGACATGGAGATCCTATTTACAGACGTCCTTCAGCTCGACTTACTGCAAGAGGATGGAACAGAAATAATTGATAATATCGTCTCGAAGCCAATCTTTTCGTAACCGTTTCACACTCTCCAGAAAGATTTTGGAGTCACTTCCAGCAGGTGTGACAACTGTGGTGCTTGGGTCTCCGTTGTTTTGCCACAGACAAAAAAAAAATTGATTCTTGTCTTTGTGGCTGACTTGTTTTAAACAGCAAAGAGATCGAAGATTCTTTGGAAGCGGTGTGGATTGTTGACCATGAGAGACGCGCGGTAAAATCTCTGGCAGAACCAAAATCGATTTTAGGGCACTGTCAAGACTTTCCTCCAGCATCAAATGAGTATTTGATAATGTAGATTTGAGGGCCTGAACCGGGCGTTTCTGGGCTAGAACATGGCGCTGTTCTTTGCCAATAGTAACGCGTTCTTTTTTTCTCTCAAATATGTAGGTTTTGAACAGTATCAGCGCCCCTTGGAGTTGACCTTGGGTGCAAGAGTGTTTTGAAGAAAGGTGAACGGCCTTGGCAACGACTGTGGTGAAAAAGTAGTGCACTGGATTGACAATCACGCCCCGCTGGTGTTTAATTCCAAAGCTCACAATGTGGAACTGCTGAACAAGTACAGTGGTTTTCAGCCCAGCTCGCTCCAGCAATCCCCAAGTGTCCCTCAAAGAGGAACTGAGATCTGAAGTTGGAAAATTGTGGGAGAGGGAAGAGAATAACAAATGAATTTTTTGAAGGAAGGCTACACTTGGTTCTGTGCTGCGATTTTCCCACAATGTGCGAAGATGCTCCAGCAGAGGTGATTGCTGGATTGCTTGGGTTGCAACAGCCACCTTGAGGGTGGTTTCATAGCAGTCATTCTCGGTTGGACATGATGCCATCAACAGACTCAGAAACCAGAAACAATCATCATAGTCATTCTCGGTTGGACATGATACCATCAACAGACTCAGAAACCAGAAACAATCATCATGTTTTATTGCTGCCAGTGGAAGAACATGTCGGAGTAGCCCTCGAATGAGGTGATGCAAGACGTAGACAATCTCAAGTTGAACAGTGAGTCTGCGTTTCACGTTTGCAAAACCCAACTGCAGCTTTCTGCCGTCCTTTTTCCCAATGGCAGAAGCCAGACTTGAGAGTGTATCTATCTCACGGTCAAGTTCAGCTGAGTTCTCAACATGCATATCCAGTGGAGCCCCGTTTTTGCAGCGCAAGTTGGTTTTGAAAATAATGCCAACTTGGAAATTGGAAAAGTAGGATGGGGAATTGCTGCGAAGAAGAAAGGTAGTTCCAAGGGCTAGCATGACGGCGTCGTTTCCAAATTGTTCCTCTGTGAAAAACAGTTTTGCAATTGTGGCGGTGCGAAGGGAATTTGGACAGGCGTAACAACGCAGTAAATCAGACTGTTCCTTCCAAAGATTTGCAAGGGGATCAGTTTTGAAAATAAGATTTGGTGGAGGCTCGTCCTTCTGTGGAGAAGCTGTGTTGGGAGTTGTTTGTGACATTTCTAAGATTGAAAGGGCAGCAGCAGTGCAGGCATCTGCTGCATCGCTTTCATCAACGGCAGAAGCGGAGATGGTATATGCTGCTGGTTGGGGTGATGACTGTAATGGGTTTTTGTATGCTTCAGACAGTTGAGTCAAAGTGGGAGTGGACGTCTGGGATGAAAGTGTTCCAAAGTTGAGGGACAGGTCCAATGATAGATTGGATTCCTGGGTATCCGGTGGGCAGGAGGTTCCACCATTGTGTTGGTTCATTGAGGCATCTTGGGAAAACTGCCAAGAGGATTGGGAGAACATCCTTGGATGGCAATATATATATAGGTGCACAATGAAATTGTTTTGGACTTGATTATTATTTGGGCTGTACTATTGAAACCAAGTCGAGTGGGACAAATATCACAAGACTCAAGAAAAACTAAGTATGGAGCGGAGATTGACAGGGATGTATGATATATAGCACACATATCACCAGGTAAAATTTGGAAAAATATTTTGGGCGAAAAAAATTTGGTGAAAAAAAAAGGCTCGTAGAAATCCTACCTGTGAAAAATTTGAAAACAGTGATACCCCTCATCTATTTTGGCTGACTAGCAGCGCATTTTAACGCGACCACCAATCAGCCAACCAAACATGTTTATTCTATTAAAAAATCCTGCCGTTGGAAAAGATAAATATGAAAAGTATACAGACATGCATTTTAATTAAAAATGTCTCTGCATAACGAAAATCAGAACCGTTGCTTTTCAAATCTTGCAAAAAAACACTGACCACAACTCATTCAATCCAGAGGTCTGTTTCAAGTAATTTGACACCATGGTTCGTCGTGTAGTCGCAGTGAAGCCAATAATGGACAATGTTCGGCAGATACAAACTTCTATCCGCCGCGTCGTAGAAGAACCCTTCCATCCAAAGACTAATGTCGAGAAAGCTCTTTTGGGAGAAATTGAGGTAAGAAGTCAGACTGGGAAATGAAAACAAGTGACATTTGTAACGGTAGCTAACATAGATGATTTTAGGTATGCAGAGCACTTATTTGGCAATGCGTTGGCGGACAAGAAGTAAATCGTCAAGACTCGCCACCCACTTGCACCAACGACAAACATTCAAAAGGGATTCCTCTCCCAAACAGCGATAGAATCTCGAACAGTTCTGAAACAAAGCAGCAGCCCAACTGCGTAGAAATTGAGTTCCAGGTGAATGCCATGAAAGTTGCGGAACTCAGAAAGGAATTGAAACGCCGAGATTTGGAAACGAATGGGTTGAAGAAGCAGCTTCAAGCTCGACTACGGGAGGCAATGGCCACGGAGAACACTACCCAACGAGCAGGAAGTGTCCCGCATCATCCTGATTGTACAAGTTCTAAACAGCCCATTGGAGCTGAAAAGTCGGAAGCCTCAGTCGCTCAGCAGGGAAATATAAAGGGAAGCAAGGAATCCTGCCAACTGAGCGATGGTAACGACAATTTCACTGAAATGAGAAAAGTCAGTGATCAGCAGAAAACCGGAAGTTTGAAGTCTTCCGTCAATTCATCACAGAGCTCACATGAGGCGAAAGTCAGTTCTGATGAAGTTCAAGGTATGGTGGGCAGTGAAGGTGTAGAAGAAGAAAAGTGGTCAACCAATTCAACGTCTCCGAAGCAGACGCTTGAAGGGGAGGGTGCATCAAATATCAAGCAGTATTGGAAGAAGTTATCCAAGCCAGCGAATGCTTCCACTGTTACTTCTCCAATCAAGGTGGCTATGATGACCCATTCCGAATCAAAAAAGAAGAAATCGCCCATTAGAATGGTCGTCAAGACGGTTCAAAAGGTATTGCCGGCTGCAAATGATGACCCTGTGCAGGATATTGTAATCTCAGATATTGTAATCTCAGCAAGCAACAGCGACTTGACAGATGACGACTTCGATGGCCCAATCTCGGAGTTTAGTGAAACATCAGCACCTCTAGTACCAGTTCAGATTTCAAAAGCAGGCAGTGTGAGAGATTTGGTATCCAAAATTCAAAAGAGCACATCTTCTGCCTCTAACACTACTGGAGGGGTTGAGGGAAGTGGATCTGCTTTGTCAAAAAATCTTCAAGCGAAGAAGGAAGCCCGGCTTGCAAGAATGGCAGAAATCCGTGGAAAGGTAAGAGCTGAAAGATTTGTAGTGCAATAAGTGGTGAAAACTGGCTCACTTCGTTTGGACAGAGCAAGCCTGTGATGACATCAAAACATGTCCTGGCACCAAAAGAGTATGCATCAACTCTTTCTTCCTTGAATGCAGTTTCTGCGCCTGTAGGTTTGAAGAAAAACAATCTTGCAGCTCAGATGAGAGAGAAGGCTGCCACTATGCGGAAAGAGAATGTGTTGTCGGGTGTAAATGACGTTTTCACATCAACCACCGAATCAGGAAAGCGTGATCTACAATCCTCGGCAGACAGTTCGGACGATCAGAAAAATCTTGTAGTATCCATGTCAATGCAGGGATTTTTAAAGAAGCAAAAGGTGGCGTCACCGATGAGTACATACGAAATATCTGATCGGGAAAAGAGCGATAGTGATACCAGTGATAGCGAGGCGGGAAATGAAAAGCAAAAGAAGAAAATTCCTGTTTGGGCACAAAAGGCCAATCTTTTGCTGGCTTTGGAGGAGCAATATAATGGTTGCGTTGGTGGTCTAAGAGTGGACCCAGATGAAATGTTTCCAGAAGTGCAAACCTGTGATCTAGAAGCAATCTTTGGCGGCAAGAAGTCGCGTTACACTCTGCGAACGAGTTCCGGAAATTGGACCCGAGACAAGGTAACAACTGCTGAAAAGTTGGTCTACAAGCGAACAATGGGTTTCACATTGCAGGTATAAATCAAATCCAGATACTACTGTAGTTGTGACAACATTTTGCTACAGTACCGACCAGGGAGATTTGAAACAATATCCCTGGTACCCAACTTTCATTAAATTCCAAATATACGGTATGGTAGAATTGTGGATCTACAAGATAATGATTACCGTAGGGAATCGATATGTTGTAAGGCATGTTGTAAGGCGGCACAAAACAAGCGCATATGTAAGCAGAATTCTATTTACACCTACTTAGCCGCATTGGCTTTGACACCTTCTCCCAAGAGCTCCCTTTTGTTGGTGTACCTTTTCCCAAAAGGTCCTTTTATTAGAGATCCAAAAAACTTTCATGATAGTATATAAATATGACTAATATGAGCCTTCAAAAATGAAGGAGTATATAAAAGGGATAGGCCGCATTTTGTTGTGAATCTGATTGAGAATGCGTGATGGGCCGACTTGCCCACTCTTTCTGAACGGGTCTTTGGTGGTCTACACAATCTTCAGTCGTGGGAATGAACTCTTGTTTAACCGTTTCCTGCGTAATGTGACTGACTGGACTGCCAAGTCCCGAGCAGATATATTAGAGCGATCAAAGGCCAACGGTCGTCGCCAATCTCAAGCCCAAGATCAATCATCTATCATCTACTCACAGCTGCTTCAGACCCCCCTAAATACACCCCAATAGCAATATCAATCACCGTCTATCATGCCTAGCAGTA